TAGTAGTAGTGGTAGTAGTAGTAGTAGTAGTAGTAGTAGTAGTAGTAGTGGTAGTAGTAGTAGTAGTAGTAGTAGTAGTAGTAGTAGTAGTACTGTGTGTGCGGGACGCATGCGGACGGTACTGGGTGGGTGAAACGCAGGGAGGAGGGGGAGGAGGGTCACGAAACGCTGTCCTGGGTGTGCGGGGCGCACGCGGACGGTGGAGGAGGAGGGGGACGAGGAGGAGAGAAGGAGAACGCGGGGACCGCCTCTTCAAAGCGAGGACCCAACACCACAGGAGGGTTGGGAAAAAGACAAAGAGGCCCCGCCGCCCCGCGCGCGCTCGCGCGAGGCGGCGCCGCGGAGCCCCGCGCCGCTCGCGAGGGCAGCCGGCGGCGGGAGGGGAGCCGCGCCGCGGGCGACAGGCCCGGGACCCCCGCGGGGGGGCGGGGGGGGGCCTCGGGGCCGAGGCGCCGAGATCGAGGGGGGGCCCATGCCAAGAGGCACACTGCTTGCCTCCAGGTTGCCCTTCGGGGGCCGCATGCGAACCCTACCCCTGCCCCCCACGATTTTTTTTTTGAGGGGAAGGGTGGGGTTCACTTCGCTCGGGAGCTCCCGAACGAAGTGAACCCCACCCTCCCCCTCAGAAATCGTGGGGGGTAGGGGTAGGGTTCGCTTGTGGCCCCCTAGCCCTGGGTTTCTTGGGTCTCGACGGCGTTGCGACGGAACGCGTGGCGCTCCCGGACCAAGAATTCATGGGCGTCCGAGGGTCTCAGGGCTGGGTTTCTTGTGGAAGGTTTCTTGTGGACTGGCCTCCACAGCAAGCCTTTCCAAAGGACAGGGGGGCTTAGCTACCCCCCCCCCTTCGAACCTCTCCATCCGAAAGCCGCCCCCCCCTCCCTCCGTTTTGGGCTAGAAGCGGGGGGGGGGGGTTTGGAAGCCCCCCCCCTGGAACTGAAGGAAGGAGTGCCAAGACCAAAAGGGCACCGAAAACCAGCAGAGCGCTGAAAGCCAAAGAGCCACCGTTCCGTGTTTGTTCCTTTAGCCCTTCTCGTGCACCCAGGCTCTTTCGGTGCCAAAGAGGGGCTCCGTTCCTCATCCAGCTTTCCTGATTTCGGCAGCCCAGCTGTAGTTGATGTTAGAAACGCTGGGGGCGTTGTTTTCCGTTTCGGCTTGTCGGTTTTGTTCGGCCAGCCACAACGGCGCGAGCGCAAATCCCAAGACGGAAAACAACGGACTCCAACAGAGAAAAAAACGCTTGTTTAGAGAACGAAGAAAACGCCCCCAGCGTTTCTAACATCATCTGAAGCGGGGCCAGGTCGGTCGGAGGTTGCCAGAGGTGGTCCCAAACATGTTCGCGTCGGGAAACATGTGAGCGTATTTTTATACATTATTTTGCCGATCGGCGCGGGCCCTCGCACCCCCTCCCCACACGTGGAGTAGATCTTGGCTTTTTTGGCGCCTTTTTCGAGCAGGTGGAGTCCCTCCCCCATAGGACGCACTGCTGCAAACAGTCGCACTAAGCAGAGGTCCGGAGCCAGACCCCCCCCGCTTCTGCCCAATGTTGAAACGCCGAATCAAAAAACGCTCACCATCACGACGAAGGTTTTGCTGTTTTGCTGTCTCTTCGCCCTCTGGAGGACCCTCGCAGGGCCCTGGGCCCAGCGCACAAAACTACCCTGGACGAGAAACTTGCATTGGAGAAGGGGTCGGGGCTTCTGTGGTAGGGCGACGAGATCTATACGTATTGCCGCTTGCCAGGCCCATCCTGGGTCCTTGAGCGGTGTATTTACCTTCCTGGCCAGGGCCAGGGGTGAGTATACGCCGCTGCTGGACCCGCGATAGGCCTGGCCAGCGGCGGTGGATATGTATCCATCTTGGCGCCCCATGGGGGACCCCGTGTTGACCTAAGCAAGGCACCCTCGAAAGCTGGGCGAGGGCTGCTAAAACTGTGGCTGCTACAACGGCCCTCCCAGAAGGAAAAAACAACTTCCCGGAATGAGGCGCGGCACGCGAAACAGTCAACGGGCTTCTTCCCGGAAGGATGCAGACAGCTTCCCGGAGGCCGATTTTAGCAACCACGGATTTAGCAGCCCTTGCCCGAACTCCAAAGTGCCATCACACAGAAAGTCATTATGGGGACAGCAGCCCGCCTCGTGGTTCCGGGCAGGCAGCGCGGTCCGGCGGAAGGGGGCGAAGAGGGGAGAAGCAGGCAGACGACGACGAACGCCCAGGCGGGAGGCCAGGGCCGGCGGGGCGGGCGGGCAGGCAGAAAACGTGCCAGGCGGAGACAGGAAGCAGGAAGCAGGAGGAAAGGAAAGGGAAGGCGGAAACAGCGGCTTCCGACATCCGATGTCTAGGGAGGCGGTCCTGCTCCAGAGAGGTGCTCACAGCCACTGCCGCTGGGGCACCCGAGGGCCCTCCGGGCCTCCTCCAAGGGGGGGGGGGCTCGGGAGCCCTCCCAGGCCGGCCTCCCCGGGAGAGCCCGGGGGCGGCCACCTGGGGCAGCACCCGTCGAGGCCTCCTAGATGGGGTCGGAGGATGGCTCCGCCTCGTCGATGCATCGGCGATGCGGCTCGAGGCGGAGCCCGATTCTCTCCACGCCGACGGCGCCGACGCATCGCCCACGTCACCGGTGCATGGCCCGTGCGTCGGCGAGGCATCGCCGATGTAACATATCGGCGATGCGGCGCGGTCCTCCGACCCTCATCTACTCCGACCCCATCGAGGAGGCCTCTGACCCGGGAGGGGGAGAGGTGGTGCTGGCCCGGATTGCCGACTCGGTTCGCGGGCGTCAAGGTCTCGGAGACTGCCCGTGCAGCGCAGCAAACGTGTGGGTACAGCTGGAGGACGGGAATGATGATTTTGCTTTTTGTTGTATCCTCTGACGCGTAATTGTCGCTCTCTGGTCCCCTCTTGGGAAAGGGTCGCGATCGTACGTGTGTGTGTGTGTGTGTGTGTGTGTGTGTGTGTGTGTGGGCTGGGTCCTCCCCCCCCCACACGCTGGTGCCCTAGGGCACGCCGTGCTGCTGACGAGTGTGTGCTGCGGCTCCACTCCGCCCAGGTGCAACCGCTTCCCCGCCCCCACTCCCCCCGGGTCATGGCCGCTGCCGGAGATATCAAACACACGCAATTTCGAACGTACGCCTCGCGCCAGGCGCTGCGCGGAGAGGGGGAACCATGAGACGACCAGTGCCGGGAAAGCAGCACGGCTGGCGGCGGGCTCCGCTTCTCCACCGCCGACTCCCAGGAGGCCGCTGCCGTCGTCTCGACAGGAGGGTGCAGGCAAGACCTCCTGGGAATCAGCCGAAATTCGGAAACTGGAACGTATACATTACCAGTGGCGGGCTGTTTCCTGAATCCCAGGTCTTTTTGAGGGTCGGGGACGACGGTGGGGTGGTGTGGTGTATACTTTTTTCCCCGATGCCCCAGGAAAGCAACGAACACCGTATACACCAGGATCCCGTAAACGCCAGAATCCGCGTTCCTGCGCGAATTTCAGCGCGGGGTCGGGAAAAGTGTCGGTGTATAGAGTTCGTTTCCCTAGAATCGCAGGCCCAGATATTGACACCAACACCAACATCGGCGGTGTGCATCTACCGAGGGAAGAAGATCCCGATCTCGGTGATGGCGGTAATAATTCTGGCTTCCAAGGTGGCCGAAATATTGCCACCAGCGCCGAAATCTAGGATCGTCTTCCCCCTGTGGAGGCCCCCCCCGTGTTGGTGTTGGTTCAGGAGGGGAAAAAACACACAGACACAATTAATCGTCGATTCCCCAGAAGATATGGGAAAATATGGGAAGTGGGCGGGAAGAGAAAAACCCAGAAAATACAGGAAACTAGGGGGGATCGTGCTATTTGTGTGTATTTCTATGTGTGTCCCAGGGCCCCTTGATTGGTGCCCATTTCCAGGCCTCCTGTAGAAATCAGGGCCCTTCCTGGCCCGGGGGGTGGCCCCAGATCTCGGCGGTTCTCTCGACCTGGGTCGGGGGGCCTCCTCGTGGCCGCGGATCGCCGTGGCCAGGAGAGCTTTTCCGCCTCCTCCTCCTCCTCCTCCTCCTCCTCCTTTTCCTCCTCTTCTCCCCCCCTCCCTCCCTCCCTCCTCCCTCCCTCCCTCCCTCCCTCCCTCCCTCCTCCTCCTCCTCCTCCTCCTCCTCCTCCTCCTCATCCTCCTCCTCCTCCTCCTCCTCCTCCTCCTCCTCCTCCTCCTCCTCCTCCTCCTCCTCCTCCTCCTCCTCCTCCTCCTCCTCCTCCTCTCCTCCTCCTCCTCCTCCTTCCTCCCTCCCTCCTCCTCCTCCTCCTCCTCCTCCTCCTCCTCCTCCTCCTCCTCCTCCTCCTCCTCCTCCTCCTCCTCCTCCTCCTCCTCCTCCTCCTCCTCCTCCCACAAACGCCGCCCATGTCATTATTTTGGGCCTGGGTGTGGCGGGGCGTCTAGGCCTCCTCATCGATGGGGTCGGAGTAGATGGGGTCGGATGATCGCGCCGCACCGCCGATGCATCGAGGATGCGGCTCGATGTGGAGCGCGACCTTGTCCACGCCGATGTCGCCGATGCATCGCCGACGTCGCCGATGCACCGTCAATGCATCGGCGATGCATGGACGATGCGGCGCGATCCTCCTGCCCCATCTTCTCGGATCCCATTTGGGAGGTCTCTGGTTCTCCGGGGGCCATGTGCGGTGCTCCTGAGAGGGCCTCGCCTGCGAGGATCAGAAGGGTTGACATCGCTTCCTCGGTGGACGGTGACGGGAGGCCGGCAGAGGGTGGCCGGAAGAGAACAAGGCCACCGCCTCTGGCGGAAGCCAGCGGGAGTAACATTTGTCTCCCCAAGTTTCGTCAATTCGTTTTGGTCAGGATTTCCAGACCCCGCCAATCTGGGCCTCCCTTGAAAAGGTGGGGCCACCTTGGGCCATTGCAGCTTCTGAGAACGCCTGAGGGGAGGCGCGAGCATCCAGAGGATGAAAAGGATATAGCTTCGAGTCTTTTGTTCGGGGGTGGGGCTCTAGAGACTTCCCGACACCCAAACCTCCAGGGTCACGGGGTCATGGGAACGCCGCAGCGACAGTTCGTTTTGTTGTTTGTTTCGTTATGGCTGAGAGTAGTTATACTGTCTGCCTGCGTCGACCCCAAACATTGTTTTTTTTGCATCCTCGATGTACGAATCATTCTTTGGTGTAATTTCGACCGCCTTGAAGTCGTCAATCCCATTGCGCGTGCAAACATCCCACCCACCCACCCACCCATTCGGCCACGAGTGCGGTTCCCGATTGGAACTTCCTAGCGCGTCTCTACGGCCGCGCCGGCACGCGCGCGCGGCCGCGCGCGCTCGCGCGCAGAGCGGCCAACTGGGTCGGCACAGTTGATGCGGCCGCGATGGTGCTTACCAGTGGGAGCTTCCCAGCGCGTCGAGAATCATCTTTGGTAGC